GCAACTTCTGAATAATGCAGCAAGCAGATGTTAGGAGAGCTGAAACTCTGTTTCAGAATGAGAACAGTTCAAACAAAGTGTTTGGCATTGCTTTGTTAATTGAGGCTCAGGAATCAGATTCAGAGTTAAGTAAGTTAGCACAGGCAGCTCACACTAAAACTGAGGAGTTCCAGAGTATTATTATATTTGAAACAGAGTTCAGACATGGAAACGGAGACATCCTCACAGACCTGTGGATGCAGAATGGATAGTTGCTCATCTGATAGTGGTACTGCCTGGATATTATGAGGAGATATTGCAAATAGTACATGAAATTCCTATGGCAGGATATGTACGAATAAGGAAAATGCAGGCATTGACAGACAGGTATTTTACATGGCCAGATATTCTTAAAGACGTAGTGCAGTTCTGTAAAATGTGTCATACATGTCAGCTAGTTCAAAAACATCAATACATGACTAAACCAGCACCTTTGATACCTATACTGACTTTTGAAGAACCTTTCAGTTAAGTGTTAGTGGATTGCATAGGACCATAATTGAAAACTAGCATATCCTCACAATTATGAATATGCCAGCCCTATTCTCAGAAGCCATTCCTTTAAGAACAATTAAAGTTTATATACTGGTGGAAATTTTATTTTTTTTTTATTCATTATGGACTATCAATTGAGGTACCGATCAGGGTTCAAACTTTGAGTCTAAAATTTGAGGAGATCAGTAGCAATTTGGGTATAAAACAACTGAAGTTAACTGTAGTGTCATCAGGAAACACAGGGAGCTGTAGATTCTCAAAACCATAATTAAGAAACACAGTCACAAATACCCACAGGAATTGGACAAACGAATAGATTTTTGGCTATTTACTACCAGAGTTCCCCCCAATAAATCTATTAGGTTTAGCCCATTTGAAGTGATTTATGGTCAGGAGATTACAGGTCCATTAAAATTGATTAGGGAGAAATTCTTGAACCAAAAAAGTGAATCCTCAATGTTGGACTATGTGTCCATGTTTCTAGAAAGACTCACAGGAGCATGTGGGATAGCAGGAGCATTTGAAAGTTTCACAGGACAGAATAAAAGAATAGATAGATACATATTCAGCAACCAGAACATTTCAAGTGGGAGATGAAGCACTGGCACTGTTGCCTTTACAAGGTGTACCTCTGACAGCAAAATTCAGCAGTCCATGCAAAGCATTTAAGAGGGCTTGTAAAGTGATTTATCTGATAAATACACTCAATCGTAGGAAGAATCTTGTTACGTCACATTAACATGTTGAAAAACTTTCACTGTAGAGAATAAGGAGACGCAAGTGTATCAGGTGGTAACAGTAGTTGAAGATGACAGACACAACAAGAGTTAGGTAGAAGGACAGTTAGGCAGTTCTCAAAGCAAATCTCCTACATTTTGACTAGCTAATACAGAAATATTGGGACAATTAGACTCCATATTGTCATATTTACAGAAAGAAAAATGGAGCATCTTGTAAGACTACTGAGGAGATAACAGGTAATAGAACGCGGAGCATGGAATAGTACAGCATACGAACAGATCCTTGTGCTGATTCTGTCTAAATGCCTCTTAAACTTTGCATCTGCTTTTACCACCTCTCCTTGCAGCATGTTGCAGGCACCTACCACCCACTGTGTGAAAAACTTTCCTTATACATCTCCTTTAAACCTGTGCCCCTAGCTTTTGACATTTCCACCCTGGAAAAAAGACTGACGAGAGGTGGAGTTGATGACCTGATTCCAATTGTTTTACATTCATTTGCCCAAGTACCTCAACGTGCCACTTGACCATGTCTTCAATTCATTGAACAATTCATTTGCATAAGAAAATCTTATCATAACATCACAGAATGAAACAGAACAGGAAACTAATCAGCTTAATGTGTGTCATGAAAACCAAAAGAACTGCAGATGCTGTAAATCAGGAGGCAAAACTGAAGTTGCTGGAACAGTTCAGCAGGTCTGGCAGGATCTGTGAAGAAAAAAACCAGAGTTACCATTTCGGGTCCAGTGACATTTTAAGGAAGGGTCACCGGACCTGAAACGTTAGCTTAATGTGCATGTCTTGCTCTATGAAAGACAGCCATTTTAGTTCCACTCTCACACTCTTTCACCAGAGGCCTGAACCAATTCCACTGCAAGCACTTAGCAAATTCCCTGAAAGTTAGCACATATGCTTGCAGAGAAATTATTTCAGGCCTCTGGTGAATGAGTATGAGAGTGGAACTAAATGGCTGTTTTACTGCAGAGATAAACATGGGTGTACATTAGCTAGACATGATATGGATATAGGAGAGTCAGGAGCAATAACACCGTATCCTGATTAGTTGGGTCTTTTGGCTAAGGTCAGTTCTCAAGGTAACAATAACACCATTCTTGTCAGCAGATTTGATGAAAATCTTAGGATTACCCCTGGGAGAAGAATGCAAGTTCAAAAGGAAATAAGGTAGAGTGTGCAATGGGCAGAAATGAGGGCCCTCAACCATATCCATCCTATTTCCTTCTCTCTCCTTCCTGTCCCTTCAGTTACATTTCTCTTCATCCTCATCTTTAACTTCACTAGCCTTCATATTCACTACATTGTCCTCCAGCATGACGCCACCATGAAATACATCATCACCTTCCCTCTCAGCATTCTGGAGGGACCATTTCCTCCATAATATTCTACTCTACCCCTTAATGAGCTTCAACATGGCCTCCTTTCCCGGCAGAACCTTCCCACAAAAACAGAAAGTTGCAAAACCCGCTCTTTTATGACTTTCCTTCTCACTATTTAAGGCTCCATTTTTCGGGTGAAGCAGCAAAGTACTTATACTTGTTTTACTTACTCCAGTGTTGGCTGCTGACATGCTGTCTTCTCTAGGATGGGGAGAACAAACACAGATTGAGGGATCACTCAAAGACCAGTGTGATTCCTAGCTTTTAGTTATCATTTTCATTCTTCACCTCATTCTCATTGGAAACTGCAGTAGTCCAAGGACAGAGATACAATGAAGTTCAATGCAGCTTTAGGGAGCATTTTTTTTTTCAGTTACAGCCTTCAAAATTCAATCCTGACTTCAAACCTTGCAGATTGTAATGTATGTTCCAATTGTGTTTGCCTACCTTTCCATGTGTCAGTGTTACTCTTAGTCTGGCTTTCAGATATCAGCTGTCCACAATTCTGCTATTCACACCTCTATAGATCTTCGGTTTCTTTTTCCAGTACCATCCCACAATGGCACTACATTATCAACTCTTTTGCCACTTAAGCTCATCAGTCTTCCAACATATCATGGAACACTTTCTCCACCCTTGCCCATTTCACCAGCTTAAAACCAGATACATTTCTAACTTTTATCAGAATTGGATAAAGGTAAATGACCTGAAAATCATTTCTCTTGCCAAGGTGCTGCCTGACTAGTTAAATATTGAGCATTTTGTTTGCCTTCCAGCATCTGCAGTATTTTAATTTTGTAATGCCATTTGTCTTATTTGTTGACAGTAATAAAATTATGCATTGCTGATATGCCTGGCCTGACTTTGTAAAGACAAACTGGGACTTGACATGGGGAACAAGAGTTCTCCCAATTTGGGCAGATTTATGGTCTGTTTTACCATACTTTAACTGGTGCATGCCTTATTGCAATTTCAGATCCAAATTACCTGGGGTTGGACTGAGTTATAGATGTTTAATATCATGTTCATAAGACAAATAATCTCCCTACAAATGAAAGTTACAACTCACTTCATCCTAAGTAAAATTGCTACTGATCGTAGCACTAAGACAAACGTTACAAAGTCATCAGATTCATTGGTCAGTTGGCTTATATCAGTGTTGTACAAATGGGAAATGCGAGGCAACAGTTTGCTATTCAGTGAGTTCTACCGGAACAGGATTGGAAGGGGACACAGGCAAGGGGGACAAAAGAGGACAGTGTTAGCACAGAGTGAAAGCTCAGGATCAAAGACGCCTGCCAGCAAAGCACAGGAATAAGGCGTGTCAACCCGGACCACTGAGGCATACAAATAGCGAGATGCTTGCAACTTGACATTTGAACGAATGGTATTAGGGCCCAACTTCAAACTTTCAATGACCGACTGATCAATGAATAGCTTGCAACAAACCAAATAATAGACCTGAACCAGAATACAAGGTTAAAGAAGCCACTTCACATATATTTCATATCATATGTGAGTATGTTACAAAAGACACCAGAACACAAATTGTTAAAGAGCAGAATGACTTTATTAAACTCAATCAGGCAAAAATTTGCCTTTGATGCAAATATCATTTCACTTCAAGAGCTTTTTAGATATCTGAAATGCTATCCTTCAGGCAGGTGAAAGTTCAAGTGCAATAATTTACTGCACATACACAAAGATTAATAGAAATTAGTACCAACTTGGATTCAATCATTCCTTATTGAAGTTGACTTGCTTACCGAGCTGGCTTGTTTTTGTTCAGACGTTTCGTCACCATGCCAGGTGACATTAATCAGTGAGGTCCAGACAGTATAAATTCCAAGCGGAGTAGAACAACATCGCTTCATCGAAGGCCTCACTGATTAATGTCACCTAGCATGGTGATGAAACGCCTGAACAAAACAAGCCAGCAACCTCATCCACAATCCAAAGTACAAATCTTTGCTAAAACTTTAAATTATTCTTATTCTTTGCTCTAGAGCACATGTAACAGTAGCTGGGCTAAGAGTGCTCATACACATTTCACAAGCAACTTTTAGCCTCTCCAAGAAATTTTTGTTCCATTGTTCTGATGGAAGGAAAACAATTGTAGCTCACAACTATTCCCAAAAGTCAAAAAGCCTTCCAATTTGTCAATGAAACGTTACTGCAGTTTTCAAAAACGAATGCTGAGATCCATGCAATCACATCATTAAGTCTGGAGATCAGTGTGTCTTGAAGGAAGGGAATAGTGAATAACCTTGATAATACATGTACATCTACAGAGATTGTAGCCTTATATATAGAAACACTCAAACACTTATTAAAATGTTCACAATTTTTATTCAATGCCTTGTGTTTCTTAAACATTCTTCTGTAGTCTATGATTGCTCCTAACAGCACTATAGAAAATTTACGTACTGCCTTGTGTTAAATCCTTCACTTTATCCATATTGTGTTCAATTGCTCCACTTAGAAATTGCAACCAGCTGTTCTCAGATTCAGGGCACACGTGACTAGACCTATACAAAGAAAACAAAACAGCACTTGAAATGGCGGAATTATACAAAGCAGAAAAGTACATAGATTGCTTATATACGCTCAGTTCCAAAAATGACAATTAAACAGTTTGATAACTACATTGTAGAACCACATTAATGATGACTATCTAACACTTTCAAGTTAAAGCAGTTATAGTACTACCATATGATGTTTTTATAATGAAGCTACTCATCCCAAATTAGCGCTTTCTTAGAACTCCAATTCTGCATGCAAGTGGCTATGTGAAAACGCAGAGTTTCTCCCAGAATAATTTAGAGTACAAGACAAAATCTATGCTGTACAAACGTAAAACTAATTGCAGTTTGATTTAAAGTCTGCAGGATATTCAGAATAAGTACCTTTCACTCCTGGCTTTACATTCACGGTCAAGAACTGAATGAAGTTGACATTTGGTTATCCAATTGCCTCAAGCAGGGCACACAATATAATTATTCAACAGTAATTTCTGACACTAAGGCATTTCAGATTTAAATTTGATAGTAGTATTCAGTATAATAGAAGCATTAGCTACCATTTTTTTTCCATATAGTAACTCTGAACATATGCTGTCTTGCTCTCGAGATTCTAATTCATTTGAGGAATTCAATACCTTAGCGATTTTGAATTTCCTGGTTCCTAGTTAGCTATCCTTTGTTGACATTTTTAAAACTGTTTTCTCTCATTGTAGTCTGCCTTCCTCTGTGCAGTCTCCACCTCTCCCTTCCTGGCAGCCTGTCACCACTTTTTCAGCCTCTCCTCAATCCCATATTCCTTGCAGCCTCCCACTGCCCCCTTCCAACTTCCCCGCACATACTTGCAGTCTCCTATAACCCTTGCGGCCCTCCCAATCACCCTCCCCTTACAGCTTTCTCATACTTCCTTGCGGGCTTCACCTCCCACCCATCCCTCACTTGCAGTCTCTCTCTCCTTCTAACATCCATGCAGTTTTATCGTCCACCGCCACTTGCAGACTATTTCCCCCAAACTCCACTTAAAGCCTCTCTCATCTCCTGGTCTTCCATCACCTTTGTTTGTTTTGATTTCAAATTGCCAGCATCTGTCCTGCTTGGTTTTGTATTCAAATTGCCAGCATCTGTCCTGCTTTGTTTTGTATTCATACTTTATCTCATCAGCTTTCTCTACTCACAATGTTGAGCTACTGTACTTTGAACATTATATAGGTGAGAAAGCACAGCAGTCAGCACAGACATGTGGGCTATCGTCAATACTTCCCTCCAACTCCCTCAAAGTAAATAAAGTACGTTTGACTTTATCAAGAATTTCAGTCACCAGGAACTACATAATTCAGAGCCAAAGTAATATTCAGAGATCAAATTTAATGAGTTAGCATGTCAGATGAGACCTCATAATCTTTCATTGTCTGATATGAATTGTATTGTCTCGGTACATTATTTTTTTGTTTAATGCTTCTCTTCAAGTAAGTCTTAAAAGTAGACTACAGGCTGATATAATAGATCATAAGATGAATTCTCCAGTCTGTGAAATCCTTTCAACTTCACTTTGCCTTTTTCAGCCATCATGGCTCTACCACTAACCTCTGGAATCCTGAACTACGTTACATAGGAACAGTAGTAGGCCATTCAGCCCCTCAAGCCTCTTCCACCATTCAGAGATCATGGCTGATCTGTGGCCTTACCTGCCTTTAACCCATATTCCTTAATAACTTTGCTTAAGAAAAATGCACTAATCTCAAATTTAAATTAACAACTGAATGTTTTGTCCCCTAACAAGTGAATTTCAGCAATGTTCTGTTTATTTCAGCTTATGTCATTTGGCATGCTAGCAGAAACATTTACAACTGTGGTTCCACAGCTTAGGGACTTCAATTACATGGATAGATGGGACAATATCGGAAGGATGGCCTTGAAAAGAAGGTTTAAAGGAGATTTAATACAGACATTCAAAGTTATGAGGTGTGGACAGTATAACTAGCTGGTAGAAGGATGAAAAAAGTGATAAGTCACAGTTACAAAGGGAAATGGTAAAAGATACAGTGGCACCATGACAGAAACTTCTTTATAGAGTAGTTAGGATGTGGAACACACTGCACAACGGTGTGGTGAAGGTAGGTTCAACTAGGAAATTCAAAGGGGCAATTGGATCAGCTTTTGAAAGGAAAATGCACGGGGTTGTGGGTGAGGCAGGGGAATGGTACCACAGGAATGTCGCCTGCACTGTAAAAGGCACGCCAGGCTGAACAGCTTCCTTCTGATATAATCATTCTGGGGCAAGAAAATTCCTCAGCAACTCAGAACACAGTTGTTAGGTGAACACAAAGCAAATACATTATAATAAAGATACATACTGCAGGCCCTTTAAAATTCTGATATTTTAAATTAAGAATAATAACAATTTAGTTCGCAAATTTTTTTATTGTAGTGTTCAAATACAGAAGACTTGTATGAACTGACATTTGTTCACTTCAATACACCCACTCTTAAATTTAGAGGAACGTCCCATTTATGGTGGTATGGTGGCACAGTGGTTAGCACTGCTGCCTTACAATGTCAGGGACCCAGGTTCGATTCTACCCCCGGGCGACTGTCTGTGTGAAGTTTGCATATTCTCTGTGTGTCTGCGTGGGTTTCCTCTGGGTGCTCCGGCTTCCTCCCACAGTCCACAGGTGTGCAGGTTAGATGGATTGGCCATGCTAACTTGCCCATAGTGTTCAGGGATGTGTAGATTAGGTGGGTTACAGGGGGATGGGTCTGGGTGGGATGCTCTGAGGTTTGGTGTGGACTTGTTGGGCCAAAGGGCCTGTTCCCACACTGTAGGGATTCTATGATGATTCATGATACTTCACACCCATGTGAGAATTCTCATAATATTTCCAATGCCCATGGGAGGGAATGATAACAGGGACTCAAATTGTTAAACAGCCAACATTTCATCCTGGGAACAAGGCATTCTATTTCATGGCACACTGAGAAAGGGAGAGAGCTGCCTTTGGGACTGGCTGCCATTGAAGGGTCCAAGGCCCAAGTGGAAAGGATAATTAGGGTGATAAGAATGACAACAAATGAATATATGAACTAACACTGGTCACAAAGAGAATTTTTAAAATTGCTTCAAGATTCAAAAAGTTACAATTAGAGTTCAGATCACAGTGACCTAGACAGCCAAAGTGAAATAAGCACAAAAGGTTGTGTTATGACTCATATGTCAGTATATCTTCAGGAGACATGCTCATGATATCATTACTGCATCACTGCATACAAATGGAAGGTATAAATATCTCATACCCATCTTACCTTTGATCACTTAAGCATGACACTCTACTGGAAGTGTGCTTCTCTGTTGTAATTCATAACTTAATATTAGCCTTTGGCCATACTGACAGTTGTGTTGAAGGAATGAAATGCTTGTACATAACAGTTAGTTGGAATAAATGTCTGCTGGATTCTTCAACACCATGATGTCTATGCTCAGTTTCTTATGTTAGGGGTGATAACATAAGTATTAGGTAAAACACCCTGCTGGAGACAATTCATACCACTAAAATAACCAAACTTTATTACTAGATAAATTGCTCTTGCAAACAGTCAGCAAGGACACAACACGCCTGCAATCTTCTTTCTATGTGTAACTATTTCGATGATAGAAAGACGCCAGTAATTTACACTACCTTACCAATTGTTACATGAACAGTGTATGAAACAAGGTAAATGAGCTTGTAGCACAGATTGAAACTGGCAGGTACAGTGTTGTGGGAGTCATAGAGATATGGCAGCAAGGGGATCAGGGCTGGGAAATATCCAAGGATACTCGTCCTATCGAAAGGATAGGGTGGATGGGCAGAGGGGACAGGGATGCCTTGTTAATAAGTGATATTAAATCGATAGCAAGAAGCCAAATAGAGTCAGAAGGCATAGAATTTAAGCGGGTAGACTTGAGGATCTGCAAAGGAGAAAAGATCCTGATGAGAGTTATGTACAGACCTCCTAGCAGTAGTCAGGATGTGGAGAAGAAAATAAATCAGGAGATAGAAAAGGCATGTATGAAAGATACTATTGCAATAATCACAGGGGACTTCAATATCCAGGTGGACTGGGAATTTAAAAAATCGGGTTGGTAACAGATCCTAAGAAAAGGAATTTGTGGGATAGCTACAGGATGGTTTTTTGGGAGCAGCCTGGGGTAGAACCCATGAGCGAACAGGCAATTCTGAATCTGCTGGTGTGTAATGAGGCAAACTTGATTGGGGAGCTTCAGGTGAAGGAAGCCCTAGGGGGCAGTGACCAGAATATGATAGTATTCACTCTGCAGTTTGAGAGGGAAGAGCTATAATCAGATGTAATGGTATTACAATTGAGTAGAGTTACCTACAAAAACACATGAGGGAGGAGCTGGCCAGAGGTAATTGAAAGATAGAGTCGAGTAGGGAAGACAATGGAGCAATGGCAAGCGTTTCTGGGGGTAATTCAGGAGGCACAGCAGGAATTCATCCCATAAAAAGAAGAAACAAGGAAAGTCAGGGACAGCATAAAAACAAAAGGGAAAGCATAAATGTGGTGAAGATTAGTGGGAAGTCAGAAATTGCAAAGCCTTTAAAAACCAGCAAAGGACAACTTAAAAAGGAACGAGAGGGGAGAAGATGAAATACAAGGATAAGCTAGTAACATACATGAAGACTGCAAGAGTCTTTTCTAGTTATATAAAAAGAAAGATAAAGGCAAGGGAGGACAATGGGCCACTGGAAAATGAGATTGGAGAAGTGGTAATAGAGAAAAAAAAAATGGCAGAGGAACTGAATAGGTACTTTGCATCAGTCTTCACAGTGGGAGACACCAGTGGCATACCAGAACTTCAAGAGAGTCAGAAGGCAGACGTGAGTGTAGTTGCCATTATTAACGAGGTGATTCTGGGGAAGTTGAAAGGTCTAAAGGTGGATAAATCACCTGGACCAGATGGACTACATCCCAGAATCCTGAAGGAGATAGCTGAGGAGATTTAGAGACATTGGCGTTGATTCTTCAGGAATCATTGGAGTCAAGAATGGTCCCAGACAACTGGAAAATGGATAATGTCACAACCTGTTTAAGGTTGGAGGCATAAGATGGGAAATTATGGGCCGGTTAGCCAGATCTCAGTCATTAGTAAGATCTTAGAGTCCATTATTAATGTTGAGATTGCAAAGTACTTGGAAGTGCACAGGAAAATAGGGCTGAGTTAGCACAGATTTGTCAAAGAGACATCATGCCTGATAAATCTGATAGAATTCTTGGAGGAGGTAACAAGCAAGTTAGACACAGATGAGCCAGTGGACGTAAACTATTTAAATTTCCAGAAAGCTTTTCACAAGGAGCCGTACAGGAGGCCACAAAACAAGATAAGAACCCATGATGTTAGAGGCAAAGTACAGGCATGGATTAGAGGACTGGCTGACTTGCAGAAGACAGAAAGTGGCAATAAAGGGATCTTTTTCAGGATAGGAGCTGGTGACTAGCAGAGTTCTGCAGGGGTCAGTGTTGGGACCACAGCTATTTAAGTTATATGCGAAGGATCTGGAAGGATGAACTATTTTTTCTATTCATTTTGGGATGTGGGCATCACTGGCTGGCCAGCATTTCTTGCCCATCCCTAGTTGCCCTTGAGAAGGTGGTGGTGAGCTGCATTCTTGAACCGCTGCAGTCTTCCTGCTGTGGGTTGACCCGCAATGCTATTAGGGAGGGAATTCCAGGATTTTGACCCAGTGACAGTGAAGGAATGGCGATACATTTCCAAGTCAGGATGGTGAGTGACTTGGAAGGGAACTTGGAGGTAGTGGTGTTCCCATATATTTGCTGCCCTTGTCCTTCTAGATGGAAGTGGTTGTGGATTTAGAAGGTGCTGAAGGGGATCTTTGGTGAATTTCTGCAGTGCATCTTGTAGATAGCACACAGCTGCTGCTACTGACCGTCGGTGGAGGAGGGCGTGAATGCTTGTGGATGTAGTGCCAATCAAGCGGGTTGCTTTTTCCTGGATGGTGTCAAGCTACGAGCGTTGTTGGGGCTGCAGTCATCCAGGCAAGTGGGGAGTATTCCATCACACTCCTGACTTGTGCCTTGTACATAGTGGATAGGCTCTGAGGAGTCGGGAGTTAAGTTACTCGCCGTAGTATTCAGCTTCTGGCCTGTTCTTGTAGCCACTCTGTTAATGTGGTGAGTCCAGCGGAGTTTCTGGTCAATGGTAACCCCCAGGATGTTGATAGTAGGGGATTCAGTGATGGTAACACCATTGAATGTCAAGGGGCAGTGGTTAGATTACCTGTGACGGCATTGTTGCTAAGCTTGCAAATGACACAAAGATAGGTGGAGGGACAGAAAATGTTGAGTAGGCAGAGAGGCTGCAGAAAGACTTGGACAGGCTAGGAGAGTGGGCAAAGAAGTGGCTGGTGAAACACAATCTGAGGAAGTGTTAGGTTATGCACTTTGATAGGAAGAATAGAGGCATAGAAAATTTTCTAAATGGGAAAAAGCTTTGGAAATTTAAAGCACAAAAGGGACTTAGGGGTCCTAGTTCAGGATTCTCTTAAGGTTAAGATGTAGGTCCAGTTGGCAGTTAGGAAGGCAAATGCAATATTATCAATCAATTTAAGAGGACTAGATTACAACAGCAGGGATGCTCTGCTGAAGCTGTATAAGGTTCTGATCAGACCATATTTGGAACACTGCCAGCAATTTTGGGCCCTGTGTCTCAGGAAAGATAAACTGGCCTTGGAGGGGTCTAGAGGAGGTTCAAAAGAAAGGTCCCTCAGAATGAAGAGCTTGTCATATGAGGAGCGATTGAGGACTCCGAGTCTGTACTCAGCAGAGATCAGAAGAATGAGAGGGGATCTCATTAAAACTTACAGAATACTGAGAGGCCTGGATAGAGTGAACATGGAGAAAATGTTTCCACTCGTAGGAAAGACTAGGACCCAAGATCACAGCATCAGGGTCAAGGGACAACCCTTTAGAACAGAGATGAGGAGGAATTTCTTCAGCCAGAGAGGGTAGTGACTCTGTGGAACTCATTGTCATAGAAGTGCAAGTGTATTTAAGACAGAATTAGAAGGTTCTTGATTAGCACAGGATTCAAAGGTTACAGGGAGAAGGCAGGAGAATGGGGTTGAGTAACCTATCAGAAATGGGCAGAACAGCTCAATTCTGCTCATATATCTTATGGTCAAATACACTGCAAACATGATCTTTAAAAGGATGTATACTGCCCCAATTAAAAATGCTATGTTAAATGTTATGACAAAGTCATCAGGATAGGTTAGGTTCTCGTGCCCAAGTAAGCATTTCTATACTCAAAGAAAATAAATAAATTCATTCATTCATTTGGAACTTTAAAAATAACTGAAGTGAGTGGGCATAACAGTGTAAGTAATTTTGGACAAGAAAGGGATAGTGTAATTTTAAATTATGTAAAGAATAATGGAAGTTCAGAGAGATTTAGTCACAGTGATCAATAAAATGAAATAAAACAAAGTAAAATTCTTTTTGGCAATTTGGACCTTACACCTGGGGCTAGAACATAAAGGAGAAATGGTTGCTACAACTATATAAAGTTCTGCTTGGATCACATCTGGAGCAGTGTGTAAAATTCTGGGCATCGTATCTGAGCAAAGTCATACTAGCTTTGGAAGAAGCCCAACAGAGGTACATTAATAATTTACCACGGTTCAAAGATTGGATAAACTCAATTTGTCCTTTATTCTTTATTTATTAATGGGACGAGGGCATCGCTGCTAGGCAGCATTTATTGCCCATCCCCAATTGCCCAGAGTCAACCACACTGCCGTGGGTCTGGAGTCACATGTTGGCCAGACCAGGTAAGGATGGCAATTTCCTTCCCTAACGGACATTAGTGAACCCGATGGATTTTTCCAAAAATTGACAATGGATTCGTCATCATCATCATTACATTTTTGATTTCAGAAATTTTATTGAATTCTAATTCCACCATCTGCTGTGGTAGGATTCGAACCCGGGTCCCCAGAACATTATCTGGGTCTCTGGACTAACAGTCCAGTGATAATACCACTAGGTCATCACCTCCCCCAGAGTACTCTCTGGAATACAGAAAATTAAACGGTGATTTGATTGAGTGTACAGAGACCAGCTTTTTTTCCTACTAGTAAGGAGCATGTAGGTCAAAAAGGCGTAACTTTAAAATCTGGGCCAGAAAACAATTTTACATTACAGGTGGTGGAGATACAGACCTCACACCCACAGAAGTAGTAGATTGTTGATTAATCAGTAATTTGATCAAGCAAAGAAAACAATTTAGACTCAGAACTGTCTGGCTTAGAATACCAAAGATTACATGATTTGAGGTGACATTTTAATGTCAGTGTTCAAATTGTTAAAGTATTGTCTGAAAGCTCATAATATGCTGAAGTAAATGGAGCTGGAATATAAATTAGCCATCATTCATCTCAACAAATGGTGGAAAAAGCCCGAGAGGCTGAACAGGCAAATTTCCCTTTCATATGAACAGGGTGGGTGTTAGGCCAGGATTTAAATAAGTAACACTGTCGCCACCTTGTGCCAGATAGTGCACAATTGAACAAGGAGGAATGTTGTCTATTTCAGAACTTGATGGTACAGTTTAAAAATAAGAGTTCCTCCATTTAAAACAGAGGGGACAAGGACATGTTCTTCTCTCAGAGGGTCTCAAGTCTCTGGAACTCTCTTCTCCAGAGTATGGAGGAGATGGAATCATTGAATACCTTTAAGGCAGAGGTAGACAATTTCTTGACCAACAGGGGAGTCAAAGGTTATGGAGGGATAGGCAAGAATGTGGAGTTTAAACTACAATCAATTCAGCAATGATCGTATTGAACAGCAGAGCAGGCTGGAGGGAACTAATTTATATGTTCATATGTGGGTGGAAAGCATCTAACTTCATCTTTTCACTTCGCATTAGATCTCTATCCCATACAAAGATGTAGAGTGATTAGTGTGTGGAATGAACAGCCAGAGGAAATGGTGGAGCAGGTACAGTTACAACATTTAAAAAGATATTTCACTAAGTACATGAATAGGAAAGATTGGGAGGGATATGGGCCAAACACAGGCAAATGGGACTAGTTTAGTTTGGGAACATGGTTGGCGTGGACTGGTTGGACTGAAGGGTCTGCTTCCAATGCTGTATGACTCTACTTAGCGCACAGCTCATGTCTGAAGGCAAATATGAAAGTGCTATAAATAGTCTTTAGATATTAAAACAAAAATGTACACTGCAATGAGTTTTAGAAATATGCTGATCATTTAACTCACTTGGCTATTTCCAGAACTTTGTTCAAGACCATAGTGACATTTGCAGCCTGAAACAGAACAATACTTTAATTATTTCAAAATAGTTCAAATAAAAACATTGACAATATTCAAATAGTACATTTGTGACTTTCTACAGGTGACCATAGATGATCAATGCAATGCAACAGTGGCCAACACGTTGCAGTTTGAAAGTTCTCTTAGGGGTCTACAGGTCAGAAGGAAAAGACAGAGAGAGATCAAAAGATCACAACTTCCATCTTAAGAAAAAACTGAGGGAGACATCAATGTATACTGTCTGATTGAGTTAATGGCCTTTGCTCCGTTCATGTTATTTTAATGATGTCTGGATGTCTTATATATGACAATATATCAAGGTACACAATAGCAATTCAGAGATAGTACAAACTGCCGATGCTGGAGAATCTCTGAGATAACAAGGTGTAAAGCTGGATGAACACAGCAGGTCAAGCATCATCAGAGGAGCAGGAAAGCTGACGTTTTGCGTCTGGACCCTGACCCGAAACGTCAGCTTTCCTGCTCCTCTGATGCTGCTTGGGATGCTGTGTTCATCCAGCTCCATACCTTGTTATCACACAATAGCAAGGTGTGTTTCCAAGCAGTTCATCGGCATTCCTTCCTCTCTATACAGTGCCATGCCTAAAATTTCCAGAAACCACTTCCAGGTCACCCCAGCACTGACTGAGCAGAGACAACCCAGTTTTTCCTAAAAGAGAAACACTGAAAAGAGACAGATGGTGGGTGACAGGTCAATCTGTGCATTTGTTAGCTGGTACACAGCATATTGCCTCATTGTCTAATAATGAAGTAACTAAAGAACCAACAAATAAACAGATCCTACCACAAATCTATATGTACACTCAAGAGGTATCCTACCACAAATCTGTATGTACGCCCAAGAGGTATGAGGGAATAAGCTGAGGACAAAAACATTCTATTCTTGCATTTCTGTAAAAATCAACACTTTGTGCTCCTGCAGTCATGTTCCATCATACCATTAGTCAAAATACCAAAAAAAAATACAGTGCCATTCCCACATTCTGCTTGAATCAAGACAAACTCAGTATGGTGCAGTACTGCTGACTGCTTTTCAAGGCAAATACTCACATTCATCTGCACAGTTACGTGGTCCATTGGAGGATAAAGACTCAAGACCAATTCATCAACACTAGAAGAGGTAAGCAACAAGTTTACCAACAATGCATCCAAACCTATTGTGGCTTGCAAGGTTAGTACAGTATTCAAGTGCAGACAAGAGTAATACAATGAATTCCCTGTCAACAAAAATACATTTACAGAAACACAACGTGTAACATTTATCAGGAATCCATTGAAAAGGACTTGTATTTTTGTAGCGTCCAAAGCAATTTAGGAAGTAGTATTTTTTAACTATACTCAACGTTACTTCAGTAAATGTGTCAGCTAACTTGCAAATCACATTGAACTAAATGACTAGATAACCAATTTTAACCATGTTACTTTAGGAATGATGTTGGGCATAGCAACATGAGAAATCCCCCACACTTTCTCAATTAATGCCATGGGATCTTGTCCACTATCAGCAGACAGATAGCGCCTCTGCTTTAATATCTCCCACAAAAAGTGGCAATCCAGACAACGTAGCTCCTTGCTCACTATTGCCTAATGACAGTTGGAGATGGAATTGCTCACACAAGCTAATATTTGATTAAAAGTAAAATAAAACTCATTTTCAAACCCAACCCAACCACATTGCACTGGTGTAGACTAAAGTTGCAGGTTTGCATTTAATAATAATATCATAACTCACCTGGGGCTAATTTCACTGGTAATGTCACCCAAATCATCCAACTGCGTTATGTGTTGCAAGCTGTCTACCTTCCCATGAGTTTTCATTGCTGCAGAGACCTTTTTCAAACATGCTTTGGCTGCTTTTACTAGTCCCAAGCAAGGAGCCATGACCTGCTTGTCCGCTTCTGACCAGTAAGTGTCCCGATTTTCTCGAGTGTCTGCATCGTCAAAAATATCACTGAATGGATCTGGATTGTCTGCATGCTGAGCCTGCCAAGTACATACAACTTATTATTCATACAACTTAGATGCAATTTATTCACTGCTACCTTAAAAGAGGTCAGCATAGTCATCTCTTACAAATAGCAGCTCAGTATTAGATGGTGCCTAGGTTCCAGTTTAAAGTCTTCAGAATTCAGGGTCATTGGACCAAAAACATCAGCTAATTTTTCTCCACAAATGCTGTCAAACGTGCTGAGAGTTTCCGGTAATTTCTGTTTTTGTTTCAGATTTCCAGTTCTTTTGGTTTTCAGCAAAATTCTTGGTCAGCCAATGGCACATGCTCCTCAACTTACCACTTCTGGTGACAGGCTAAACGGATGCAAGCAAGTTCTCTGCCTGCTTTATACATCACTAGGTGTGAAAAAAGAACAGGAAAGTTTTTTTGTCCCCCAGCCTCTGGTCTTTGGACTCAAGTCAAACACACATTATCGGCTGATTTTAGTTGAAATTGAACATAATTTAAACTGCCACTTATTCATTCTTTTAGTTCAAAAAGAGGAGCTGACAAACTTCATTATCACCAAATTTCCATCCTTCTACCTCTCTCTAATCTCAGATTAAACAATAAACAGGCTCACTACCGAATTTCCAATAATTTGGTATAATTGGGAAACATTTCAAGCAAGCCAGAGCAGACATCTGAACGAGTAGACAAAAAATAAAATGGAAGCATTGAGAGATTAAATAAAAACAGAAAATGCCAAAATATTCAGCAGATTAGATGCTATCAGCGACCTTGACCCTTCATCAGAACAGTGATCTGGACTTCCACCAAGTGGTCAAATATGGAAAATACAGCGCTCCACTCTCAATTCAATATTTTTGTCAAACCATTTAAGAACACAGTAAAAAGGTGGCAAGCAAATCAATGAAACTGATAGCAGCTAATTAATCATGTTCCAAATGCCACAGAAGAGCTCTGACTAATGTGAATACCTTGCCCAATGTCACAGAAGTGACCGAAATTCTGGAAGAACTCATGCAATATGTGCAGTGAGAAAAATAACACAATTGCAGATCAATGAAATTTTAGATCAATGGAAATGTAATGGGTTTTAAGCAAGTGAAAGGTAAGGAGCTTGGGTAAAGAATAAATGGGAATGCGGGTGATAAGACGACAGAATCAGGTTACTAAACCATACTTACTACATTTTCACATTTGGATTGTCAACAAAAATTAATTAAAATGGAATCTCCAGTTGAACAAGTTTTTTTTTTAAGAGAACTTTTATTTTGGTAATTTTTGGTTAAAAAGCTGCATATGGGCTCTGTGCTCCTTCAGGTGAAACTTCCTACTCAGCAATGTAAACTGTGAAGATGATTGTAACAGACTAGTAAAACAAGAAACACATTTTAAATGGAAAGAATGAGCAGCAATAACATAACCAAAATCATATAATCAAAATCATTTAATCAAAATTGAATGTAGGGGATGAGTTGAGATGGTTGTATAGGTTTTGACAGATTATGCAAGGAGAAACTGATTCAGCGAGCTGAAGGGTCCATAATTTGAGGTCACAGTTTGAAGGTAATTGGCAAAAGAGCCAGAGGTACAATGAAGAGATACTTCATTCCACAGCAAGGTTTGATTTGAAGCATAGATGTAGCTTCAATAGTGAGTTACAAAAGGGAATCTGTTAATATTTAGAAGAGAAAAGAATACAGGCCAACAAGAAAGGGCAGGGGTACAGGACTAATTGAGAGCTTCTTTCAAAGCCAACAAGGCAGAATAGGATCCAAACATAATATTTCCAAATTTGCAGATGATACAAAACTAAGCAAGAATATGTGTTGCAAGGAAGATGTAAAACAGCGTTAGGAAGATTTGGACGTGATTAATGAATGGACGAGAACATGGCAGATAGAACATAAAAACGGAAAAATGTAAAGTCATCCACGTTCCTTCAGAGGAACATGTCCAAAGTATACCTTAAATGGTAAGAGGTTGGAAAGTGCAGATGTACAAACAGACCCAAGTATTTATTAATAAGTTAGTGAAGGCTAACATGCAGTTGCAGCAAGCTATTAGGAAAGCTAATGGAAGGTTGGCCTGTAATGCCAGAGGATTGGAGAGCAGCAGTAGTGAAGTCTTACTTCTATTGTATAGAAGCTTGGTAAGACCACAACTGGAGTTGTGGGCAATTTGGTCTCTTTATGTAACAAAGGGTATTATAGCCATAGAAGGGGATACAATGAAGATTCACCAGATTGGTTCCCAGGATGGCAGGTATGGAGAGAGATTGGGCCAACTGAGCCTGGATACTGTGGAGTTTCCAAGAATGAGGGGTGATCTCACCGAAGCCTAGAGTATTTAACGAGATAGACAGAGTAGGTGATGCTTCCCTAGGTGAGGTGTCCGTAACCAGGAGCCACAAGTTAAAAATAAGGCAGGTGCCATTGAGGAGCAGGTTAAGGAGAAGATGTTTTACTCAAGGAATTGTGAAATTTTGGAATTCTCTGTCTTACAGGGCTGCAGAAACTTTGACTTAGTGTATGTTTAAGTGAGTAGATCATTGATTTTTTGATAACAAATGGTATAAAGTGTTGTGCAGACAGTGTGGATAAAAGACATTGACATATTCTATCAATGATCATATTGAATGACAAATCAGGGTGGAGGTGTTGAAGGGCCTAATCCCCCTTCCTAAAGGGCTATGTGCTCTCTGCATTCTGTATTACTCGAAATTCAGTTTTAAAATATCACACAGAGATACTTTGAAGATACAACATGGACACAGGCTATTCAGCTCAACTGGTCCATGTCAGCAGGTACCTGCACCCCTTTCCAACATTCTGTTCTGTTTTATAATTATAAAAAGATGATTTTTCCACTATGTCATTATTTCATCAATCAGCATCACAACCATTGTACAATCCTTCCCATAGGACAGAATCCAGTACTGCACAAATCAAGGTCCTAAGATTTTGTATAGACACATAACTAAGTTTTGGTTTATATATTCTATTAGATTTTGTACCTGTTCCATTTCTTCCAAAGCATCTTCCACAATAGCTGCATATGACAACATCAGTGATAAAACAGCTGCCTGGTTATCTGTAGAGCAGAAAGCAGGCAGTCTGTCATACTAATTTTTATTATTGCTAAAAAAAAAAATCAGAATAGGTAACTAGATATGATTGGCAAATATTACTCAAAAAGAGAAAATATCACCTTGACATTTTATTAACGACAAAAATCACTAGTAACTCAGCAATAAAAAATTCAAAGTGGTAGAAGCTCAGTCACCAATTACTCAAATCTAAAGCTTCTCCAAAATTTTAAACGAGTCATAGTTAAATACTGGTACAGAGAACATCAAAATATTAATTTTTATAGAGGAAAGGACGGGTGGTTGAGAGACATGAATGGGAGTGAGGAATAGGAGATGGGGAGAGAGTGCAGAATGGTAGGGACAGATGACAGCAGGGAATATGGGGAAAGCAAAATGGCATGGGGGGTGGGGGGGGGGAGGTTAAAGCAAGAATTTTTGGTGGGGTTAGAGGATGGAAGGAGAGAAAGGAGGGAGAGGGCAAAGGGAAAAGGAGAGGAAATTTATAACATATTTTGAAATCTACATTACCTTTTGGCAATTTAGAAAACCTGTCACATGCTTCCCAAACTCCCCCTGTGGATGTCAGCTGGCCCTGTGATAAACTGAGGCCAAAAGAATAAAATGTCACATACAAATCATGCAAATCTACAAGGACTGAACACAACACCATTATATCCATGCCTTTAACATCAAAATTATCTTGTGAAGAATAACTCTTTAGCACGTAAACACACAGGGCTGAAATGGTGCTAAAGTTTGAAAAGAAAAATCAAAATAGACCTTAAAACGAATTGAATTTTATCAAGTGGGTTTCACTGTCAGTTTACGAGCACATGGCCACAGTGACCAAATTCTGAATTACTAATCACGTTTTTCTTAAAAGTTGCAGTAACCTTTTTACGAAGTCTGTTTTGATTTACATTTGGGCTAAAAGAAAATGAGACCACAATTTTAATTCTCTCTTTTCATCTTATCCCTATGGTTTCATTTTTGACTAAATTAAAGATATTACAGAAATCCAATTGCTGAATTTCAGGGAGGTGAAACTGAGAAGGAAGGGTCACCGGACCCGAAACGTTAACTCTGTTTTTCCCTTCATAGATGCTGCCAGACCTGCTGAGCTTTTCCAGCAACTTTGTTTTTGTTCCTGTGTTTGAAACTGAGAAGGATATTGACCATGCCTGGCAGTATCTTTAGCGAGAATGACAGGATTAATATTTCAGGTACAGTGACCTTTTGTCAGAACTCATGAAAGGTGACTTCATCACTCAAGACTTGAACTCTATTTCTCTCTCCACAGATGCATTCTAACAAACTGAGAATTTCCAACTTTCTAGAGTTTTTAAGATTTCCAGTCTCAGCAGTATTTTGCTTTTTTGGAGGTTTCATCCTCTCACTGGTATACTTCTGGCTACCTTGAAAGGGACTGAATAGCAGGATGAAAATTTTAACAGTGGATCCTGGTCAACAGTGCCACAATGTGGATCAGTGAGCACGAAGGTGTTGGATAAGGAACATAGAACATAGAACATAGGAGACCAAACAACAGTGGGTTGGAATAGTCGAGCCTAGAAGAAACACAGATGAGGATTCCAGAGCAGGTGGGCTGAAGTAGGAGTGGCATCAACGATATTAGCAGTGGAAATGGCCAGTCTAATACCGCAGGTTTAAAAATGACATGAAAGGTATGAGCAGTCAGGTTCAAATTTAGATAGTTACCAGGGAGATGAATAAATAGTTGTTAGCAATTAGCATTTGGCTTTGATATTCTTGATAATTAAGCAGAGGAAATTTCTGCTCATCCAGTTCTGAATACCAGACAAGCAGTTTGATAGTTATAAACACTGGAAAAGTCAACAGATAGTAGTAGGTAGAGCAGGATGTTGTTAGTGCACACGTATAAAACCTTTGGTTTATTTCACCGAAGAGAAATAAGTATCCTTAGGAAATATCCAGAATTCAGGGAAGAGGAGAAATCACTGTAATTGATATACTGTCTAAAATTGGATAATATAAAGGAGTATGCATGGGAACACAAGGGCGTCCAAAGATCCACTCTAAGACATACATCAACCTGACATGGAAATAAAACAATCCTCCTAGTATGTCATTGGATCAAATCACTAGAATTCCCTCCACAACAACATTATGGCTGTACTTGCACAAGGCCTGCAGTGGTTTAAAAAGACTATCACCTTCTCAACAGCAATTACAGATGGACAACAAATGTCAGCCTAGATAAATTGTAAACAAATAGGTTTGTGATGGATAAACATTTGACTAACAAAGGAGTCAAAATTTATTGGTATAGATAGGAAAGTGGAATCAAGGCCTAAATCAGATCAGCTACAACCTTAATGAATGGGGGAACATGCTTGAAGGACCACATGGTATATTCCTGCTCTAAAGTTGTATGTATGTACAATACACACATACATACGCCTTGCCAGTGATGTCGACAAATAAAAAGAAGCATAGTCCCATGCAGCTGAACAGTAATGGAGAGGTGCTAGAGGAGGACGGTGTGCTCACAGGCTGCAGACTGTTGAGAACGTGGAGGAAGAATAGTTTAACATTACTACTGTCACAAATGTGTCACTTTTAATTTTAATAAGATATACTGTGGTAGGATGGAAATTTGATTGGAAGAATTCAAACACGAGGCTCTGGGAAAGATGAGCAGAGTATTGGAAAGTAACTACATGTTTTACACTTGATAAGAAATGAAGGTTAGAGATTGAGTGTTTGTTTGTAACGATGATCAGGTCATGTATTAGTTTATCAAGGAGTAATAGCAGCAGGTTTAAAAGAAAGATGGATGTTCACTGTGTGAAAGAACCAGTGAGTATCTGCTAACATGGGGTCCAGGAAGAGAAGCTGGCAGCAATTTGGTGGGAATACACTAGAAGTAGTAGCAGTTTGGTCTTGTAGACAAGATGAGTTAAATTACTGCAATAGAAAGTGAATAGAATGATTTACAGTTCAACAAATCACAAGGATATTTAGAAATAATCTGCTACACAGGGTATAAGAATGAATATAGGGTGATCACCTGGCATTAAACTACGCACCAGAAGTGACACAGACACATATTCACTAACATCTGGGATTGATGCCAAAATCAAGCAAACAACAACCTGACACAGAACTTTGATTGGATGAAAGTTATGATTAAATACCACAGATTCCTCCATCATCATCACTATTATGTTCTTTCCCACGAACAAAACAGATCCACTTGAGGGCAGCACAATGGTGTACAGTCAGGAGGGAGTAGACCTGGGCATATTGGTTATTGACTCCAGAACCTATGAAGCTTCGTGGCAACAAGTAAACATTAAGCACAAACGAGAAAGTGTCCTGTTGACTGACAACTATCACCCTCTCTCAGATACCAAATCACCATTCCCCCTTTTGAAAAACATTTAGTAGATTGACCAAGGCCACAGAATGATAAGAAGACTTCGGAGCAGTGGTAGGCCATTTGGCCCACTGAGTCTGCTCCACCATTTGATGAGATTGCGGCTGATCAGGTCATTCTCAATTCCACTTTCATGTTATTAATCCAAACCCTATGATTCTGTAACTGATTAAAAATTAGTCTCATCTCAGCATAGAATATACTTAACAACCAACCTTCTTCAGTAAAGAATTCCACAGATTCACAACCTTGAGAGAAGAAATTCCTCCCTATCTCTGGCTTCAATGAGTGACCCCTTACTTGAAGATTATGCCTCTGCTCTTGACTCTCCTACAAGAGAAGAAACTAAGGCTGTTTACAGCCTTAAAAGCCTAATATATTTCAATAAGGTTGTCTCTCATTATTCCAAACTCCAATGAGTACAGGCCCAACCCACTCAATCTCTCCTCATAAGAAAATCCCTCCATACCTGGGATCAACCTTTTCTGGACTGCCTCCAATCTTTCCCTACATATAGAGACCTAATGTGTTCTTAATATTCGAGAACATACACTGCATGGGGAACTTCAACATTAATCGGAGTAGCATCACTTCTGACAAAGTCAGAAGAGTCCTAAATTATATAGCTCCAAACTAGGCCTGTGACAGAAGTAGAGACACCCACTATTTTAAATACTTACGTCCTCCAAGGGTACACCATGTAGACCGCACCAGCTAAGAGTTGCACTGTTAGTAATGGCCTCCAGGCTTCTTCAACTTTCCAAAACTGCTTTCTCAACCACAAAGGTCAAGAGCAGTAAGCACAGGAGGGCACCACCATCAAGTCACACACCACCCTCACTTGCAAAAATATTGTCCTTCCTTCATTGTCACTTGGTCAAAATACTGGAATTTTTGAAATGACAACATAGCATACCTAGACACTGAATGCACAAGGACAGATAGCAGTGTTAGGCAGCAGTTTACCAGCACTAAGACAATTAAGAAGAGTCAATGAATGCTGGCCTTGCCAATGACACCCAGTAACTCTAATCAATATTTTTAAAATCTATTTTCTTAGAGAAGGCATTTTTTTCTCCTCCTCAGAAAAGCTGGTGGTGAGCAGGAAGTCTCACAAAGTAAATGAGGCCATCACAAATTTACCCTTCAGAAGATTGTCTTTTGTTTAAATTTTGGGGAAAATAGCCAAGCTTGCTGAGTGAGAGAATGTAAAATCCAAATTCAGAATCACTTCATCAAAATATATACCACACTTTTTTCCTCCTTTTCCTTCTACCACCACACCCTCAAACATATAACGCCCAAATCATTTACTGTTACACAAGAATTATCAAACAAAATGTTAACATTACTCCTAATTGTCTATAAAATCATTAATCTAAGTAATGTGCAGGAGGGTCTACTGCAGGCATTCCTAATAGGAGTTCAGTGCACATGACAGATCTTCTGCCACTTTTGCATTGAAACTTCAATTCAAACAAAATATCAAGTCAACTCAAGTGACAATCCATTCTCTAACCAGACACCTACAGATAATAGTTACATTCTGGTCATAAAGAATTGTATATCTGAATTAAGCACAGTTGAAGATTAAAACATGGAAAGAGAGATACCAAAGTTCACGAGTTTTAAAAGAATATCTGAGCAATATATTTCTTGTTTTCCTGGAGGTATCACAGGCTTTGTTAAGTACTGGATTTTTAAATAACAATGCAAGTTTGTTTTACATCTTCAAATGAATTGTGTAGTTGAAATTTTGCACCTTTGAAGGGGTGTGCTCAGTATCACATTTAAAAGCTGAATGACTCCCTCCACTACGTCCACTGTGGCATCTCGAACTAATCGTCGTAGAGTTACACCTGAAGTATGAGAGACAAATCATTAGCATCTCTTAACCATCACAATTAATGATTTAGAGTCATACAGTCATAGAGATGTACAGCATGGAAATAGACCCTTTGGTCAAACTCTTCCATGCTGATCGGATATCCTAAACAAATCTAGTCCCATTTGCCAGCATTTGGCCCATATCCCTCTAAACCCTTCCTATTCACGTACTCATCCAGGTGTCTTTAAAATGTTCTAATTGTATCAGCCTCCACCACTTCCTCTGGCAGCTTATTCCATACACGCACCACCATCTGCGTGGAAAAGTTGGCCCTTAGATCCCTTCTAAATTTTTCCCCTCTCAGCTTAAACCCAAGTACTCTAGTTTTGGACTTCCCCACCCCCGGGAAAAGACAGTGTCTATTTACCCTACCCATGCCCCTCTTGATTTTATAAACCTCTATAAGGTCTATATAAATGACAAAAAGCAGCAGACTTGGCACTGATCCTTGTGGCATACTGCTGGTCACAGGCCTCCAGTCTGAAAAGCAACACTCCACCACCACCCTCTGCCTTCCACCTTCGATCCAGTTCTGCATCCAAATAGCTAGCTCTCCCTCTATTCCGTGTGATCTAACCTTACTAACCAGGCTACCATAAGGAACCTTGAATGCCTTATTGAAGGCTATAAAGATCATGTCCACCGCTCTACCCTCATCAATTCTCTTCGTTACTTCTTCAAAAAACTCAAGTTAGCGAGACACGATTTCCCATGCCCAAAGCCACGTACACTATCCCTAATCAAACCTTGCCTTTCCAAATACAACTTTGCAAGTTTGAATTGCCTCTCTGTTCTGTATGGAAATCCTGTCCCTCAGGATTCCATCCAACAACTGCCCACCACCGATGTCAGGCTCACCAGTCTACACTTCCCTGGCTTTTCCTTACCACCTTTCTTAATAGTGGCACCGCATGAGCCAGCCTCCAGTCTTCCAGGACCTCACCTATGGCTATCAAATATCTCAGTAAGGGGCCCGGCAATCACTTCCCTAGCTTCCCGCGGAGTTCTCGGGTACATCTGATCAGTTCCATGGGATTTATCCACCTTTATGCATTTTGAAACGTTCAGCACCTCCTCCTCCATAATATGGGCATTTTTCAAGATGTCCTTATTCATTTCTCCAAGATCCCGATCTTAAATATCCTTCTCTTTCTATTGATGCGTTTCGTATCTACAAAAGTTATTACACTCAACTCATCTACTCAGACGCCTTTTGAAGAACCTATTCAAATCAATTTTTAAAAGGACTATCTTAGAATAATAGAAAATGCAAAACTATTTATTATACATTCTTGACAGAAATGTTGAGAAAAATCTTATGAAATCCATGTTCACAGGAGTAGTCAAGTATAATACTGCTGACAGAAACTCCCCATTAAGTATACAAAATCATCTTGCTAGGTCTACCACTGACAAATTTCAGCATTACAAGAGAAACATTCTTCCAAGTGTTATTCCTCAGAAAAATGATTACAATGGTGTGTTAGTGGCTGTGCTGAGTCCACCGATAACACAAAAATCTTTGAAAAGTTGTCAGTTATTGGTGAGTTATTCTTCTTTAGGGTAAAATTGTGATAACTAATGCTTTCAACAAACAGAACTTCAGTCTATCAGTTTTATGACTGTTGATTAGTTATTTCATATACTCATGTCTAATCCACAAGTTTCCTCCCAAGTCACTTATTATTCTGATTTAAATGTATTGCCGTTCCTTCAATGTCACTGGATCAAAATCTTAGAAAGCCCTCCTTAATTCCTTTCCACAGAGACCTTGTGTATATTTAAGGCCAAGATAGAGAAATTTTTGATCAGTAGACAAATCAAAGATTAAGGGAAAGGGCAGGAAAGTGAATATGAGGAGCGTTGAATCTTCTGAATAACAGAACAGGCTTGAGGAACTGAACAGTCCACTCCCGTTCCTTTTTCTTATGGTGCAATGGCATTGTGAGGGTACTTACACAAAACTTATCACCGCAATTCAAGGTGGCAGAACACCACCACTTTCTCAAGGACAACTAGATACGGGCAAAAAATGCTGGCCCAGCAAGCAATGACCACATCCTATTAATGATTTTACTTTAAAAATAGCACCCTGTAAATTATCAGACACCTTGTAATTTTCTTTCTCCTTCTAAACTGACAGTGAGGCTGGCCAAGATGCTAAAGAAGCTTTGAGGCAGAGTGGGACATGGCTAGAAGTCTTTGAATGTAAAAACAAAGACTTGAAATTGATACCAAAGGCTGTGAGGAGCCAGCATAAATTATTTCAATGATGGAAAAGGGGGTTGCGAAACAGAATCAAACAGAATACAAGATTCCAAATTATGAGATGAGAACAGAAGGGCATTCAGGAAAGTTGGTGGAGTTAAGAGCAGAGGCATGAAAAACTAAGAAGGTGCAAAATAGTGACTTTATTTTTATTTTCATTGACCTAAAGCAAGATTTGACTGCTGCAAGGTTTACGATGGTTAAACTACATTCATAGCTGTACACACATTTCAAGGTCCCTTAAACTTCACTATGGGGGGCGGAAATCATCTACAACTACATTAAATTATGCAGTTTGACAGGAGGGACACGCAGACAAATGGAACTGACTACACAGATCTCTTCGAGGGCTTGTTTGGAAGGTGAAGTAAAATAGTGCGTGTTCAATTCAGTCATACAGAACAGAAAGGCAATTCAAACTTGCAAAGTTGTAACATACATAAAATTGAATAATGTCATTCAGAACTGAGTTGGTATGGTTCAAATGCATTTCATGAGGAATAGCAGTTTCAAATTGTTAAAGCTGTGAAAAGTCATCATTCCAAGTCACTGACATACTTAATCTCTCTCAACAGAGAAACAACAATTCATCCAGCATGCTTGCTAATTTTTTTGAGCCACGGTTTTTTTTTTAAAACATTTTTCATTCCAAATCCTTGTCTTTTCAATTTACAAAATAGAACATTTGTTGTTTTTGTTGAATGACAATAAGTTATAATGGCAAAAGCAAGTTTTCATTTCTCTTACATGGATGAACACATTACAGTATTAACAACACTTCAATAGATAAATCTGTAGCAGTTCAGCAGCACTTGCCTTGGCTCTTGGGTAACCAATAATACACAGTGGTTAAATTAAGGACATTCTTCTGAAAGTCTGCAGTGAGTTTCTGACAGTCCTAATATGGAAAACATTATTAATTTGAATGTAGCATTGCTTCATCAAGTGTAAGAGTTGTAATCAGAAGTTCAACTTATGCACTCACCTGTACAGATGGTAAGGGTGGTTTTGAAAAGGCCAGACTTAGCTTCGTTGCTTCATGTGATATTGCTTTGAAGCACTCACCTAAAAGAAACATGCTTGAATAATCCAGGCAACGGTTCAAAACAATAAAATAAAAGCTGGAACTAGTTATACTGACCACAAATCAAAACCACCAACTGTGAAATAAGCCTGGCCTAATACATGTTTATATCTAAAATTTATTATTGAGGCAGAGTTTAAACTGCTATTGCAAAATTTTCCCCATTATATTGTACTTGCTTTCTTAATGTTATGAGTTAATTTCATGGAAGTCAGTAGTACAATAACATTAGCAAAAGATTCTATGAATTCATAGAAATTTTTATTTCATCAAATAATAAAAATCACATCATATATTGGTTGGAACAAATCTTGTCTTCTTCAATCACAAGTTATTACAAAAATGTCACAAAATAAAACTAAACACACAACCTCCTTCTACATATTTTAAGTTTTACTTTCAAGATTTATATGAGTGTGTTTACCAATGTGCTGGTCAATCATAGGACATGTGGTATTGCCACAAATGTTGGCACAGGAAAGGTACTAATAATGTTCTAAACTGAAAAACCAAAAAGCGAGAACGATTACTGTTAGTGGAACAAACTACTTTCCTCTATATTCTTTCAACCGCAATCTTCTGACAGTTGGTTCTTTATCCTATGCATGCAATAGATAATGAGCTTACATTATTGCAACATGCGTGACAACATCCCTGTTCCCCTAACAACAGAGGCATTTCCTCCTAAATTATAAATATTTATAAACAAAAGCTAAAAATTCAAATATGTAAAATTAAGCTAATTAAAGTCAATATTTCAGTAGAAATCTTAAATTGTATATATTCTAGCTTCCTGCTTGACCTCCACTACATGTCTAAAGTTAAGTTTAAAAACATCCCCATCTATATTTAATTTATTTAATTATATCTGATGAACACTACAGGTTACTTAGGCCGTCAATACTCAGTAATCTCTTCCCACATCTTTATACATCAAGCAACAAACCTAGACTTTTCCAGAAGTGCTGCAAGTCAAAATTTTCAGACTTCCATAATGATTCTCCTTCTGTAAAAAGAGAAGAATTTCCATGAATACATTGCTTCATTTCTCAGATTATTAAGAGAACAAGTGCATCTCACTAAAAGCCATTTGTGCTGAGTTATCCAACCTTAACCAGGAGAGTTCAGCACAAGCTGAGCTCTCAATATTCGAACTGAGGCGAGAAGGTGGAGTGGGATAATCAAACAGTCAGGGCTCCCACTCCAGCAACCACTGCAGAGAATACACGTATGACTATTAAAAGTACAAAAATCTCTAAAACCTCTACAATAGTACAGCATAGGAAGTAGATGTTCGACAAATTGAGTTTGTGCCAGCACACTCAGACAGCAATCCACTTAATTCCACTCCCCATATTTCCACATTGCGTTTCTCCTTCAATACTTTATTCAATTCCTTATTGAAGGCTAGCATTGTTAATGGCTGAAACAGATTTAAAAAAATGTAGGATTTCACTAAAACACTGATACCAGAGCTAACTGCTAGACCCTGGAGATCAGTCTTAATGGGAAAAAAAGAGAAGGGGAAGAAACAAAAGGTACTAGTATTTAAAATTTCGACCACTAACATTTTCTTGGCCAATTATTTCAGAACTGCAGCCTCTGATTTCCCACACATTAATCACTGGAAATAGTCTCTATTTGCTTACACAAAGCAAAACTTTGAAGATTTTTAAAATCTCTATCAAATATCCTCAGACTCCTACAAAATTAAAGGTGCAATATAAACACAGGTTGCAGTTGTGAATACTTTTTTTTTACTGTGACTGCAAAACAAGATTTTAGTCAGCACGCCAATAAACATTGCATAATGATTTTGCTAAAATCAAATTCTAAACATTTCAAAAGAACTTACAAGATGTAGATGGGCAGCCTCAAATTTATTCAAAAGCTTTTTCAATGGTAAAACTTATCATAATCAATAAAGCAGAATATTATTTAAACAGAAAAATGACTGCAGAATTCCAAGATGAAGAAGCAGCTAGCTGTTTTTGAGAGTCACAAAAAGCTTGTATACAGGTACAGCAAATAATTAAAGTGGTTAGTGGAACGCAATCCTTTATTATGCAAAGAATTGAACATAAAAGCAAAGATGATAAACTTCAGTTACACAGTGCATTGGGTGAGGCCACATCTTGAATACCATCCGACCCGTGTCTCCTTATTTTACGACACAAATGCAATGAGAGCTGTTCAGTGTTTTACTTGTTTGAGATGTGAAATTAGCAGGGTGTCTTATAAGGAGAGGTTGGACAGACCGAGCTTGTTTTCACTGGAGGTTAGAAGAGAGAAAGGTGAATTGACTGAAGTTTCGAAGATCCTGTAACTAGTGGATCTGACAAAGTGGATGTGAAAAGAATGTTTCCTCTTCGATGTGAATCTGGAGCGACAGGGTACTGTTTACAATTAGGTCTTGTCCTTTAAGGACGAGGAGAATCTTTTTCTTTGAGCATTGAGAGACTATGAAACTCTGCCAGAGAAGGTGATGGAGAAAGCGGTTCTCGAACTTTTTTTAAGGCAAAGGTAGATAGACTTTAATTAGACAAGGGAATCAAAAATTATCAGAGGTAATATGGGGCTGTGCTAGGGTTAAAAACACAAACATTTCAGGCAGGATCCTACTGAATGGCAGAGCGGGCTTGGGGAAATCAAATAGCCACTTTGAATATTTGTAGAGACACCCATTCCTCATTCCAACAATAATCCTGTACGTAAACAATAAAACAAAACCATTTAGAGATAGTAGGAACTGCAGATGCTGGAGAATCCGAGACAACAAGGTGCAGGGCTGGATGAACACACCAGGCCAAGCAGCATCATAGGAGCAGAGAGGCTGATGTTTCGGGCCTAGACCCTTCATCAGAAAACAAAACCATTTCCCAGGTTTACACACAAACCACTAGATGGCTCCCTATGTTTCAAATTCCACTATGCTTCAATTTCATAACAATCTCTTTTGCAGAAGAGTCTCCTGACATTGCTGTGATCGACATTTGCCAATTCTCCAATATCCATACAAACACAACCATACAAATGGGGTCTCATTCCACACACAAGCTTAGACAAACATTGGAGGACAACCTGAAAAGGAAACAAAATTGTAGTGGACCAAAATCCCACTTCCCACTTGAAGAAAATACATATACAGTTTCCAAGATTTATCCTAACAGTTCTAAGCTTAAACATAGCTCCAATGGGTGTCAATGTCTCTCTCAGCTAAGTTAACTGGGAACATTCGAATCAAATGCAGATCACATGCAACAGAGCACACAGAACGCAGAACTCTCATTTATATACAAATGTTAACATAGCAAAGCATCCCAACACATTCAGAGAAGTGTAATCAGACAAAATTTGATACTAAATCAAAAGATGATATTGGGACAAATAACCAAATGCTTGGTAAATTAATTTGGTGTTAGCATATTAAAAAAGTGGGAAAAGAGGCAGATCGAATCATGGAGGGAATTCTAGATTTTCTTTTGTGATTCACTCAAGGGATGTGAGCATTGCTTGCAAGGCTAAGCATTTATTGTCCATCCCTAAATGTGCACAAGGTGATGAAGTGCCTTGTTAAACCATGTGGAGCTGGAGGAGCACAGCAGGCCAGGCAGCATCAGAGGAGCAGGAAAG